TTCCCGGGTGAGGCAGATCAGTCGCCGGCTTCTGGAGAGCCACTCACTGCGGCTGCTGGCCGCTCACGCTGGCTGCCAGCTACACACGGTAGCTTATGGCAACCCACTGCAGCAGGAGACTGCAGCCTATGCTGTTGCCGGCGACTCACAGCAGCCCAGCCCCAGGTCGAGCTGCCGTTCACCATCTAGCTGCAAAGGGCAGTGTCACTGGCCCTCATATGTGGCATCCAAACCGGGCCCTCCGGCATCCCAATCCAGTTCTTAACCAACGCGCCACTCGGTCGGCCCGCTCTTTGCATTTCTGTATAAATTTTAGGACCAACTTACCAATTTCTACCCAAAAAGCCTGCGAGATTTTTTTATTGGGATTATGTTGAATCTATAGTTCAATTTGAGGAGAAATTGATATCTTAACAGTAGTGAGTGTTCTGTCTCAGCCTATCAATAGTGGTGTTATTGGCTAGGAATGCCTGGGGCAGTCACATGGGCCTGTACTGTGGCGAGCCTCCACATACATTTTCCTAACCAGAGCCAGTGCTGTGGCTGGACCACCCCTTGTGGTTCTCATGATTACAAGATGCACCTCACCAACAACAATCAGGGAACTTTGAAAAAACAAGGTTTATAACTCATAGGTCCTAGAGGTTACACAGCATGGCCAGGACCACACACAACGAGGTTGCAGATAGAGAGCAAGCATGGGGACCTGGGGTTCTGCCATTATTGGGGATGAGGGTGGGGTGACGTGGGTTTGGTGGATTCACTGTTTATTGGAAATTTAAAACATTAAAGCAGGAATTAAGGCTCAGGAGGGGAAAAGTGGGGTCACTCTAGTGGCCAGTTTTCTAGGTTACCCAGAGCTTTCTAAAAGGGGAATTTCATGGGTGGGGCTGGCCTAGCTTTTTATCTAGTTGTATAGCTGGCAATATGTTTGTTTGAGATGTGTGTTTTTGAAATGGATGCCTCAGCAACCAGAAGCTCATTTTCAGTCACTTAACGTTGCAGTCAGAAAAGCTTATTGGCACTTACACTGCAGTGACTTGGTTCATGAGTATGGTATATCTCCATTTATTTAGGTCGTCTTTAACTTTTTTGGGTAATATTTGGTAGTTTGCACATCTTTGTTAAATTTATCCTTGGATATTTCATATTTTTGACACTATCGTAAGTGGTTTGTTTTCTTTTTCAATTTCCAATTTTTTTTTAATGAATTTAGAGGCTTTTTTTTTTTTTGGCGGGGGGGGTGGGGAACAGTGTGTTTTTCCAGGACCTATCAGCTCCAAGTCAAGTATGGTAAAACCTTGGATTGCGAGTAACTTGGTTTGTGAGTGTTCCACAAGACGAGCAAATGTTTCTATTAGCTTGGTGCAAAAGTAATAGCGAATAATGGCAAAAACCGCTATTACTTTTGTACCAACCTAATAATACATTTTAACTTGGTAAAGCGATGTCTTGCAGTACTAGTAGTTTGTTTCTGGAACGAATTATGCTTGCAAATTGAGGTATTACTGTAGTTGTTTCAATCTAGTTGTGGAGGACACAACTCAGTGGCCCATGTGGGGATCAAACTGGCAACCTTGGTGTTACAAGCACTGTGCTCTAACCAACTGAGCTAACTGGCCTCCCCTTCAGTTACTTATTGCTAGTATGTAGAAATACAATCAAATTTTATATATTGATCCTGTGGTATCTACAACCTTGCTAAACTCATTTATTAGTCCTAATAACTTTTTTGTAGCTTCTTGGGGGTTTTCTACTTAGATGATTATTTTGTCTATGAACAAAGACAGTTATCTAGTCTGTATGCCTTTTTAAATTTTTTTATTTTTAATTTTAATTTTTAATTTAATTTAATTTTTAAAATTTTTGCCTAATTGCATTGGCTAGGACCTCCAGTACAGTATTAAATAGAAATGGTGAAAGCGAACATCTTTGTGTTGTTCTTGATCTTAGGAGGAAAACAGTCATTTGTTCACCATTAAGTATCATGTTCCCGAGACTAGAGTCACATCCTGACAGCTCTTGTCCTGGTGTGCTACAGTTCTCAGAGAGAATCTGCTGGTTTTGATTCACTGGCGAGGGCAGTCGGTGCCCCTGGTAGTGCCCAGATCAGAAACATGCCCTCCCTGGGGGGAAAAAAAAAGTATCATGTTAACTAGGTTTTTCTAAAATGCCTTTAATCAGGTTGGGAAGGTCCCTTCTGTTCCTAGTTTCCTGAGTTGCTTTTTTTTTTATTCTGAAAAGGTATTGAATTTTGTCAGATGCTTTTGCTGTGTTTATTGAAGTGTTCATATTGGGGGTTTTTTTAGTTAACAAATATGGTGAATTACGTTGATTGAATTTTGAATATTAAATTAAGCCTGCATTCTGGGATGAACTCCACTTGGTCATGATATATTACCTTTTATATTTATTAGTGGATTTAATTGGCTAAAATTTTGTTAAGGATTTTTGTGTCTGTTCATGGGGGATATTGGTCTGTAGTTTTCTTTCCTTGTGATTTTTTTGTCTGGTTTTGGAAGCACAAGACCTCCAGGTGATTCTGATATTTGCTGAAGTTTGAGAACCACTGCTCTAGACCATGCCATTGTTAATGCCCTTGCATTAAGAATACTTAGTAGATGGGGCCGGCCGAGTGGCGCAATGGTTAAGAACTGGCTTGGGATGCCAGAAGGCCCCGGTTTGGATCCCACATATGAGGGCCAGTGACACTGCCCTCCACAGCTAAGATGCTGAACAACAGCTCAACCTGGAGCTGGGCTGCTGTGAGTCGCCCACGACGGAGTAGGCTGCAGCCCCTGTGGCAGTGGGTTGCCATGGGCTACCATGTGTAGCCAGCAGCCAGCGTGAGCGGCCATCCAGAAGCCGGCGACTGATCTGCCTCACCCAGGAAGAGCTCAGTGATGGTGCCAACTTGGGCCAGTGAAGCAACGTCCTCCACAACAAAACGACAGCAACTTGTCTGTTCCCCTTCCCCCAATTCCCCAGCACTGTTCCCATCCCCTCAATTCCCCAATAAAAATCTTTAAAAAAAAAAAGAATACTTAGTAGATGGAGTGGCCGGTTAGCTCAGTTGGTTAGAGTGCAGTGCTCACAACACCAAGGTTGCCGGGTCGATTCCCACATGAGCTGCTGAGCTGTGTCCTCCACAACTAGATTGAAACAACTATTCAACTTGGAGTTGATGGGTCCTAGAAAAAGACACTGTTCCCCAATTAAAAAAAAAAAAAAGAACTTAGTGGAAACCTTTGAGAAACACTTTCAAAGGGTTTTGAGAGGAAGAATGACAGGATGAGAATTACATTTTTAAAACCATAGTTCTGGCGTCAGTGAGGAATGAGTTGGCTGCAGCTTCATTGAGTAATCAAGGAAATGTAAATTAAAACTCACAATGAAAAATTGTCATACCTATTAGCTTGGCAAAAAGCAGGAATCTGAGAATTCCAAGGGATGTAGCAGGAACTTTTATTCACTGTTAATAGGAGATAACTTAGCTGAACCACACTGGAGAGAAATTTAACCATATTCTGTAAAGTTGAATTTATTCTATAATCCAGTTTCTTTCCTTGATATTTTCAGAGACGTACACCTCAGAAGCTGCCCCACCCTCTTGAGTTTTTTCCCAGTCACAGCCCCTCCTCCCACCCTCTCCTGACTTTTATGGTAGTCACATATTTGCTTTTCTTTGTAGTTTTTACCACTTAAGTATACATCCTAAACAATATGGCCAAGTCTTGCTGTTGTTGTTTTTTTAATTCCTATCAGTCAGTGGAATTAGAAAGTATGTATTCTTTTGTTTGCATCTTGCTTTCACTCAGTGTTTATTCACATTGTGTGCAGCTGTAGCTTGTTGATTTTCATTGCTGTATAGTATTCCAGTGTGTGAATATAAACTGTTTGCCTTCCCACTGCTGATGGACATTTGGGATGTTTCTAGATTTTAGCTACTATGAACAGAACTTCAGTGATTTCATTGATTTTCAAATGTTAAAGCAAACTTGTGTTGCTGAGATAAAAAACCAACTTGGCTATTGTGTAGTATTCTTTTTATATATCAATGAATCCACTTTGCTAATATTTTGCTATAGATTTGTCTATAATTTTCCTTTCTTATAATAATGTCTTGTCATATTTTGATAGCATGATAATGTTAGACTCATAATGTAAATTGGGATTCTGTTCTCTCTTTATTATCTGAGGAGTTTGTGTAAGACTAGAATTTCTTGGATATTTTATGGAACCAGTAGTTTTTTGTGTGAAGATTTTGACTACAGATTATATTATTTTAATTTTTAAACGATTTAGATTTTCTGTTTCATCTTTGGTGTGTTTTGGTAAGATCTGTTTTTTAGGAGTTTATTCATTTCATCTAAAATTCAATGTTAGTGGTATAAAGTTGGTCATAGTGTACCTATTAGTATCTTTTATATATCCAAAGCATCTAGAATGATGTTCCCATTTGCATTCCTAATGCTGTTCAGTGCCTTCTCTCTCTTTTCTTTTTCTCAATCTTGCCAGGAGCTTATCAATTTTTTTAGTCTTTTTAAAGAACCATCTTTTGCCTTTACTAATTCTATTGAATGTTTGTTTTCTATTTCATTACTTTCTATCTTTATCTTATTTCCTTCTACTTTTTGTTATGTTTTTTCCTATTCTCTTGAGTTGGATTCTTAGCTCTTCACTTCTTAGCCTTTCTTCTTTTACATTATGGGCATTTTAAAACTAGAAAGTTTCCTACAAGTCTGAAGATCACTGATGATCTTCAGCACTTTGACTTCTACTTCAAGTCCCCATTTGTGCTCCAACAGCTGTGACTCTTTAGTACCAACATACCACACTCCCTTCTTCCTGCAGCCCAGTTGTTCTTTACCCTCTGAGGAGGGTGCCTTGCCTAACACAGGTGTCCAGCTGGGGCCCAGAGACAGCAGAGGACTAGAAGCCGCTGCCTATTGCAGGGGATTGTGGAATCCTAGCATGCATCTCAGCCTGTCTCTGGATGTTTTCCAGACCACACATGCTGTCAGGAGAGTCCCTGGCCAGCTGTCCTTTTTATTATATCTTTTCAAGTTCATCAACACAGATTTTTATGTTTGTGTTGATTTTTCTAGATTCTTTCATGGCTCCCTACCCTTCATCAACTCCTGTCATACAATGCTATGTGTAATGCTAGAACTTCACAGTGATTTGGCTCTGCAGCTGTAGGGTGGCTACCCAACATAGCAGCACAGAAACCCACAGACCTGCCTTTATAAGGCTGTGGCTTTCGCTTACAAGGAGCAGTGATTATTATATGATGACCTGGCACTAGATTAACTCAGGAATGTCAGCCTCAGCTTCGTATGGTGCCCACTTGGAGTGCTGTATGGTGGTCAAAGGATATGAAGTCTTATGAATGCTCAAAAGAAGTACATTCTCATTCTCACTGAAGACATAAGACCCAGATGGAGTGAGAGTCCATGATGAGTATTGAATTATCCGGTATAGATGGTCATTGCTTCAGAGGTTAAGAGTGAGGGCACAGTCTGCTGAAGTATGCCTGAAAGCCTCTCTCCCATACCTGCTTGCCTAACTCACCTCCTTCCAGTCTTTGCTCAGATGTCGCCTTCTCAATGAAGCCACCTCCTCCCCCAGCACTCCAGACCCCACCTTCCCTGCTCTACTTTTTCCTATAGCACTTCTACACAACAGCATAATTTATTGATTCACTATGTTGATAATTTAGTTTATTTACCCTACCAGACTACATTCCACAAGGGTAAGGATATTTGTTTTGTCTACTGATACATCTCAAATACCTAGAACAGCACCTTGCACATAGTAAGTGCTTAATTATTTGTTGAGTTACTTGAATGACTGGTTCAGCTAAATGGGTTAAAATCAAAACAAGGAAAAGAAAAGCCTGAGGCTCATAAGGGTGACATCAGCCCACATCAAAGCACCTTCCTCACCAAGGCAGGGCTTTGTCCAGGTCCACGCTGTCCTCTGGAGGGTTGCATTTGATGGTTAAGATTATCCCTGGGCCCCATAACCCAGGCATAGCCAGGAGTCACCTTGATACTGTCTGTGGCAGTCTTGGCTACTGATCCCTTGTTATATGTTTCAATAGTGGACCAACATGAGCAGTAAGAATAGTGATGCACTGTGCAGTTGGCAGCCTGGGCATATTCATGGAGAAAAATGTCAGCATTCCATGTTAGGAAGTGAGAGATGTGTGTCAATCATATTGGACTTACCCCCTGTGATTAGGATCCTCTCATTCTGTTCTGAATTTGTTAGCTATTGATTGACTTGTAGAGTTGGAAAATAAATACAAATCAGAGCTCAGGCAATGACAAAATGATCTTATTTCTATGTCCCTCTTCGATACATGTGTATGGCTCTTACCTGACCTCCTTTCCCTTTTCAGGGTGAAAAGGCTGATAGCTTTTACATTATAGAGTCTGGCGAAGTGAGCATCTTGATTAGAAGCAAGGTGAGTTTATGTGTGATGGTGCAAGTTATGCCAGGGAAGATGCAGATGCCACGTGTATGCACAAAAAGTAACTCTTTGCTTCAAGTAATGTGAAGCATGTTTAGTGTACCATAACCATCAGTGTTAGGTAAGGTATGTGACTGGCAAAGACTCATGTTTAAGCCCATCCATTGGTAGAGATTTAGTATATTCCTTCTTGTTCCTGTAGCCTTTGCCTCTGTTATGTAATTAATGATATGAGAAATACTGGCCTACAAAACAATGAAAAGATAAACACCCTAGTAGAAAATGAGGGAACTGTATAATTTAAAAATACATGTAGGTAGGGCCGGCCGAATGGCTCAGTTGGTTAAGAGCTCGCTCAAGAGTTTGAGCTCTGAGCAACAGCGGTTCGAGGCCAGCCCGAGCTGAGCAGCCGCTAAGCTGCCAATAGGTAGCAGGATGGCTCAGCTAAAAAAAATAATAAAAAAATAAAAAATAAAAATACATGTAGGTGTTAAATATTAAAATAGCTACCTTTTTAGAGCACTGGGAAGGTCTCTAAGACAATTATTATTATGCCCTTTGATAGATAACGGAGACCTAGAAAACTGATGACCTATAGGTAGAAGGAATGAATAACCATAAATCTATCATTGCCAGATTTAACCTCTTTTAATTTTTTAGACTATAGATTTTGTTAAAATAGTGAGCTATATGTAATGTTAATCTATTATGAAACCTTTTACAGAATATCTTTAGTAAAAGTTAAGTATGAAGGAAAAAAGAAAAATATGATTACTGCTCATAATATAACTTGATTCCTAATTAAAAACAGATCTGTTGTTTCACATGAAGCAATAGTTTGAAACTTCTGTGTTCTTTTGTAGTTTTTAGTCTACTGATATATGTTTGTACATTTCTCAGATACTCACTGACACACAACATCGTCTTAAGTGTGTAGGAACAGCAGCACTGTGGCATTGGGGACTTGGGGGAGATTGTCAGAAATACAGTCTTGGGCTCTGCCTCAGACCTACTGAATCAGTATCTACATTGTAACAAAACCCCCAGGGAGCTGGTATTGGCATGATAGTGTGATAAATGCTGCTCTAGAGAAGGGACTAGTTGGGCACAAACATGTCTATAGTCCCAGAGAATGCTACAGAAATAGGAAAGAGACCATTGGCTGGAATGGGGCAGATTGACTTAAGAGCAAACAGGTCAGAGCAGAAGTGTGGAAGCAGGAAAGGCCAAACCATGTAAGTTAGTGTGGGACTTTTGTTTATTTTCTAAATCTTTAAAAAATTATCCACCCATAACATAAAGTGGCTCCTAGCGATTGAGACTAATTAATTATAAATTAATTGAGATTAATTTATTATTAATTCTTAATAAATTCTAAATAATTTTATACTTAAACATGCTATTGCTTAGCTTAGTGGAGTGGAGTGATTTGTAAAAAAAAAAAAAAGAAAGAAAGAAAAGAAACTGTAGATAAAAAATACAACATAGTACATTATTTTCAGTAATTTGATAAGCAGAAATTACAACCTGCCTGATTTCTTAATACAGAATTAAACCACCAAATTTCAAGTCTGAACATTATTTTTAAAAATATTTAGTTTCTTAGCCGGCTGAATGGCTCAGTTGGTTAAGAGCTCGCTCAAGAGTTTGAGCTCTGAGCAGCAGCGGTTCGATGCCCGGCCCAAGCTGAGTTGCCGCTGAGCTGCCAAAAGGTGGCAGGATGACTCAGCTAAATAAAAAAAATAAAAAATAAAAATTTAGTTTCTTGATTCTTCTTTAAAAATGCAGGAGGGGACCACTAACAAGATATAGACAGTACCTAAAAAGAAAATTGGTCACTGTAAAGTATGGTCCAAGAAAGGCATGGTCTCAAATTAGAAAGTAGCAGCCCAGGATTGTGACTCTTTACCTAAGAAAAGCATTAACATTATTTAGAAAGAATTAGCAAAAGACCTTGTCTTTTCCCCCATGCCTCAGAAGTCAGCATCTACCAAACGGAGAGTATTCATATGTATATATGTATGATTATATGTTAATATATAACATTATAATATAATATATATTATTATATATTATATCATAATTATATAATGTTATTAATGTATATATAAATCTTCAAAAGGAAATGGTCTGCTCCTTACCTCTTGATAATTAGCTACTAACTGAAAGGTGTTAGGACTCAGATGAAGCACCAGGTGAAAGCCAGCTCCTCTGATGAAACCAGACCACTGAAATTAGCCCATACAGTTTACATGGTACAATCAAGAGTGTCTGCAAATGAATTTCTCAGTAATTGTGTTAAGTGTACCGATAAAGGAATGCAAGTGTGTGCAACTGAACATGTGCTTCTGGAGTCAGCCCGGGTCATGTTCTCTGCCTGCTCTAGACTAAAGCCAACAAAGATTCTGGGAACCAGGAGGTCGAGATTGCCCGCTGCCATAAGGGGCAATACTTTGGAGAGCTTGCACTGGTCACCAACAAACCCAGAGCTGCTTCGGCTTATGCAGTGGGAGATGTCAAATGCTTAGGTAAGAAAAATTCTTTATGCTATTTTTTCCAAGTGGCCAGTGTCCTCCTAAAGTCTCTCCTATAACCTGAGTGTATACACAGAGGGTGCCAAAAAAATGTATACACATTTTAAGAAAGGAAAAGGCTATTAAATTGTAATACTGATAACAAAGATGTATACAAGTCACATTTGACTTCTGCAATTACAAGAGTGATTACCATCAGCGTCCAGACACTTCTGATTACAGAGAACTGCTTGAGCAGCGTTGACCAAAGTGTCCACTTGTATACATTTTTTTTGGCACCCCTAGTATTTAAGGAAAGGTTTGCACGAGGAAAATGACTTTGAATTGTTGGTGTAGAGAATTCATTCTCTCCCTCGTGTTTTTGAACAATGCAGTTATGGATGTACAAGCATTCGAGAGGCTTCTGGGGCCCTGCATGGACATCATGAAGAGGAACATCTCACACTATGAGGAACAGCTGGTGAAGATGTTTGGCTCCAGCATGGATCTGATCGATCCCGGGGAGTAGGTGTGCCACACCCCAGAGCCTTCTCAGTGTGACACCAAAACCTTCCGGTCAGCCACAGAACACACACAGAAAACAGACACAACAGAACTATTCCTGCTGTTGCCACCTCTGCTGCCATTACTATGGCTGTGGGCATTTAGAAAACTTGAAAGTCAGCACTAAAGGATAGGTAGAGGTTTGACTTGCACCTCCACTTTTCTCTGACAGCCCATTATTAAACCATTTGTAATGATTATTCCAACCCAGTTTTCACATCTTTGGTTCAAAATGGCATGTCTCTCCAACAATTTAAGTGCCTGATACAAAGTCCAAAGGGTAAACACCTTCCTTTCCTCTCTTGCTGCTACTGTTGCTTTTGGAAGTTACCACAGGTCTGCACAAACCTGCTGTATAACTGTAGACACCCTCCCCCAACCCTTCTCAAGGGAGGAAATGTTGTCGCCTTCGATCTCCTCATTTATCCTTTGAGAAAGTCCACATTTGTTCACAATTGTAGCCTTTGGTTCTACAGTGGAAAATGGTGGCAGATATGATGGAGGTCTGTGTTCTTGTGGCATTGTACTTTCTGCTGAAAGCTGCACACATGACAGCTGTCTCCAAACTCACAGGGATGCTGAGGGAAGGGCCCTGCCCAGGGCCCAGCAAATCAGCACCCAAAACACACTGATCCGTCATTTTTCGCACAGACAGTTTGGGTTCAGCACGTTCTTCAGGTAGCAGAGAGCCAGGGAAGGCTTTCTGGGTTGGAGGGTTTGTTTTGTTTTCATAGACTTTGTTTTGTTTTGTTTTGTTTAATCTCTGTGCCATTTGCATGGATGGATTACTGTCCATTTCTAAGGAGCCAGGGTCTGGAGGTGCCATCACTTTAACTGACCCAAATACTTTCCTGGATAATTCCCGCCCCCTCTTGTTTCCAGTTGTCTCTACTGGCTGGTGGCAGTGTGCCAGCAAGAGTCTGTCCTACAAAGAGAGCCCTTGACTTCTACTCTAGAGTTAACACATAGCTTTGCTGCTGAACCATCAATTTTTAAACTCTTTAAAGAAGCAGCAGCTATTTTTTTTTAATTAAAAAAATATTTCTCTATTTAGGGAATTCCCCTCGGATGTGTTTATATATATCAGTTTGTCAGCTGACTCAGGCATTCATCCTAAAGGTCAACTCTTTTGTTAGTTTTCAAAACTTGGCATCATTTACAGTTTTATAGAATTACTGTGAAGACCTTTCTAATTAAGATGTTAGGATATTTGGGGTTCCAATTGTTAATTCCAGGGGAAAGTAATTTAGCTTGTATTTTAAAACTTTTTTAGCCTTTTAATTATAACAGGTAGAATTCTGATGAATTATCCTAATTAGCTAGATACACTTCAGAATGAAATTTTTTCTTCAGAATGACTTAGAATCAGATGTTACAAGAGCAATGTGAAATTTGCATAAAGGTAAATTTGAATGTCATAGCCAAGTTTATATTAAATCAAGAAACCCTTTACGATATTTTTTAAAACTTATGTAACTCAATAAATCCCTAAGAGATCACATGCTGGGGCTTGACTCATTCCTATTGTGGATAGTGACGGAGCCCACATGGTCACCTTCCATTGTCCACATAGGTCAGGCTCTGTTTTTGCCAGACAGTATGGTCGAGAGATTTCCAGAGTGGTGACTCACCACAGTCTTGGTGAATTCTCCCTTTTTCTTGTGCTCCTTGGAGTGAAAGCAGGACTCTTTTCAGACTGCTCTAGGTAGCCTGCATTGCAGCTCTCTGAATTGTGAAACGTTGTAACTAATACTCCAAAACAGGCAGCTAGCACTGGGAAAGCCATGTGGGTTTTCCCACGATTTTTTTTCTTTTCTGTGGTGTTGCTTTATTATCAAATAAGTTAAGAAAGCAGACCTTGCACTTTAGCTGACAAGAACCACACCAGTTTTTTGCAAAGGAAACAGGTATATTGGGCTTCAAGAGTGACATAGAAATCTAGCCCCAGACTACGTGAGGACTGTGTTTAAACACCAAACAGATGCTCCCTTTGCACCCCCACTCCAGCATTAGTTAGGACTGGCTGTGAACTCCGTGCCAGAGTCACTTATGCATGCTTCTGGGGAGAAGCCTTCTCATCCTGCCTTCTTGCACTTCCCAGTTTAGTCTTCTTCACAGAAGTCTCTTTGACACCCCCAACTCACTGATGGTTGCTGTTTTACAGAGTAGAATTCATCAGGTTTAAGTCCTCCTGATCTAATTACACATTGACATATAGATGATCAGTCTAGCCCTTCACGGCATACAAGAGCCCCTTGGAGGTCTGGCTTGAGAAAGGGAGACCTGAAAGGGACCAGTGTAAGTGAAATAGGACACAGCCATTACCAAGGTGCCAGGAGTCTAACTGTTCAATTCTCTTTGCAGGATGGGAAGTCAAAGGTGGTAACAAGTTTAACTCAAGGCTCTGGTGTCCACTTTGTGCCAGGCAAGCCCTGCACTGATGGTTGAGCCTCATGGGGAGGGTGTGTTGGGAAGAGATCCCTTTGTTAATTGTTTCATATTGTTCTCTTCTGTGGGTTAGAGCTTCACGAGCCCTCTTTTCTGACTTTGCTATTGATTTTGGATGGCGGAGAATGTTCCTGAGAGCCTTGAGGTCCAACCTGCAGTATTATCTTTCCTTCTGGCCCCAGGTTATCACATCCACTCTCTTTTGGTTGTATTCTCTGAAGGAAGGGTTCATGGGTTCTGTCCCCTTAGTCGAGAGTCCTTATATATAACTGTGTTATATGTAATTGCCATAGATTCTCAGAAAGCAGGGTGGAGTTTTTCTTTGAGGAGTTTAATGAGCAAATTCAGCAGCGAAGTTGCAAGGAATGGTTCTCTAGCTAGTAGAGGTCGTGTTCATCCTCTTATCGCCCAGATTCTCTGCTCACAATGGCAGAGTCATCAGTGGTGCCGCTGGCAAACACCCTGGGCACACAGCATTTCCATGTTGTGTCACAGTGTACAAACCAATCTCTCGTTTAGAAAAATGGCAAGAGCATTGTTTTGCACAAAGAGAAAAAAGACCCATGAATGTCATCTTTTATCTTTTGTTTTCAGTTGGCTGATGTTGGAATTTTTGTTCTTGACATGCACTTGTAAACCAATCTTGCCAAGATACAAGTTGTTTTGGTTTTTCACTACAATTACCTCTTGTTCCTCCTGTCTTGACTGCTGACGTTCCTCAATGATTCTAATGTCTATTTTATGGGAAGCAGCCTTCCCGTGGGTTTCCTTTTACACACTGCAGGGCTATCTTTATACTTTTTAAAAAAAAATTTATAAAAAAAAAGGAGAAAACTGTCACTAACCTCATGGGGGATTTGCAGAAAACCATTTAGCCCACCTTGAGCAAAAGGTATACTCCTCATTGTTTTCTTAAGCTCACTGTATTAAAAGAAATCTAATTCAGCATTATTGTGCTACCTCAAAGGTAAAAATGTTTTAAGGTCTTTTTTTGGTCCTGAGTTCTACACATAGTGTTTGAAATGTCTTTCAATTGGAATTATTTTTAAATCATTGGGGAGAATCTTATTTTAACCTGTTTTACACTTGTATTTTAATCTCAGAAGAATAAGTGATTGGAAAATTATTAATTCTTGCTCTGTAGTATTGAACATATAATTAAAGCATTGTTTGCCATAAACAAGGTTGGGATTTTTAAAAAGGAAACTCTAGGGCTCGGCTTTGCTCTTGGTTAATAAAGGCTGACAAATCACGTCTGACTTTCTGGTACAGCCTGTGTCATGTGTTTGTCCTCTCATTTCAGGGCTACAGGCCATCATAGCCCTCTTCTGGCAGATATGTTGCTGGGATTGGGGTATGAGCTCTTGGAAATGAGAGACGAGGCCTGGGCACATGTATTATTTATGGTTCTCCAAAGAAACAGAACCAGTAGGGCGTGTGTGTGTAAAGAGATTTATTATTATAAAGAACTGGCTAATGCAGTTATGGAGGTAGGCAAGTCCCAAGATCTGCAGGGTTAGTTGGCAAGCTGGAGACCCAGGACAACCTTCTGAGTCTGAAGGCCTGAGAACCAGAAGAGCCAATAGAGTAGTTCCTGTCCAAAGGCTGGCAGGCTCCAGATCCAGGAAGAACTCATGTCCCAGTTCGAAGGCAGTCAGGCAGGAGAGTTGTCTTACTTGGGGGAGAGTCAGCCTTTTTTATTAGGGTCTTCAACTGATTGGATGCGGCCCAGCCACATTAGGAGGGCAGTCTGCTTTACTCAGCCTATTGATTTAAATGTTAATATTATCCAAAATCACCCTTTTGGAAACTCTCAGAACAAGTTTTGACCAAATATCTGTGGGCTGCCCGTGGCCCAGTCCAGTTGACACATAAAATTAACCATCACAGTTTTGAGTTGTTGGGGATGGTGTGCAAGGGCATCCAATACCTCCATTGCCAGGAAGATGTACTCACCATTGAAGCCTAGCAGAAATCACCTCCTGTCTGACAATATTACGTATATCATTTCCTTCTCTGTAACATGGCTACCAGAACTAGCAATGACTCTGTGAAACTCTACCTGCAGTTTCTTTCCAAGTGACTAAAGGGAGCTCATTCTACAACAAAATCATGTTCCAGTTTGATCTTGCCTTCACCTGGCAGTACCAAAGGGCCAAAAAGGGGTGAACCTACAAAATACCAAGGTGGGGCCCAAGAAACTGCTAGTTGAAAACCCTCAAAGCCAAACTGGCCTTGTTTCAAGACTTTAAAAATTAAATACGGTTTGACCTTTGTGGCTTGGGTGGTGGTATTGCTATGAACAGGTAAGAAATGCTAGGACAATGTCAAGATAATATTGTCCACAGTCTCAGCCTTGAAGAGTGAACGTCACATGAGGACTTTGCTTCCTGTGTACGTTCTAACAAGAAGCTAGAAATTTGTCCTATTAAAGTTATTTGAATATATCCTCAGTGATCGTAGTGCATCAGTTTTATAACAACAGAATTAAAACAGTATTACTTATAACATGGTGAAGGAAATTGGGTCATTTCACAAGGCATCGTGTTAAGTATGAATTTTGCTTCCCTTACTCATCCTCCCTACAGACAAATGCCCCATCACAGATGATGGCCAGTAATCACTGTTACCTGATTTGGGGATATGCTGATAAAATGCAGAGTATTAACCAGGAACATACTGAACAATCAGTTGTGAATTCAGATGAGTATTATCCAAGTTCTGAATTAGAATGTCAGAAATTAGGTCTGACTCAGCTCATTTGTTCAGTGAACAAATCTTGATGTCCTGCCGTAGACATTCCTGACACTGTGCTTAAACCCCAGAAATTGTAGCAAGAGTGACGATACTGAGGTCTGCCGGGGCCATCCTAGACCTTTCCTCCAGTGCCTGTAGGAGCTTATCCTCCATATTTCTGGACTCAACACAGAAACATGCTCCCAAGGCCTGTTGTTGACCTTGATCGTGCTGCTCTTCTCTATCTGGGCTGCCACTGCCTCTTCGTAAAGTGAGTGGTTTGAACACACAAGCATGCAATGTCCCTTACTGCTCTATCTTGCATCACGCAATCCTGGTTGCCAAAGCATCGGGAGAGCTGTGAAAGGAGAACAACTAGATTTAAGATTTGAAAAAAGACTCTCCAGATAGGGGCCCCTTGGAAATTGTTACCTTCGTGCTAGTCATTCTAAACGTCACTCAAGTTGGCCAGAGATGCCTTTCTGGCCTAGGTTGCCTTCTGTGATGACACGCTAAGAATCAAATTTTTCTGAAAGTGTCTTTCAAGTGACATTTCTACCCCTTCCTCTCTGGCTTCTTCCCATCCAGAATCCTTGATCCTGTGGGCCTTTTTTTCTATTCTATAAAACCAGTTATCTGGCTTGTCTTTGAGAATACAGAGTCAAGCAGTGCCCAGCCCGTTTATAGACTACAGAGCTATAAAGGCTACAGAGGAGCTTTGCCAGGTTAGAGTGTGAAACCAAAGGGGGGCTGGGAGTTTCTCCAGACACTAAGAAAGCCAGCAGGACCTGACTCCACCAGTCAGTCCATCCTGACAGGTAAAAAGAATGGGCATTTGCATGTCAGCTCTTGGGGAAGGAGTTGAAACAGTACCAGCCAAAATCTCCATGGCCTACCCCTTCCTCTTCTGCAGAATTGCACTGAGCCATGGGTCAATAGTCACTGTGTTTTCTGCTGGGAGCCAGGATCCAGCAATCTCCTTTCTGGCCAGGTCCTCCAACACACAGAATGAAGAAGCAGGAGTGTGCAATTGGCTTTTTTCTAGCAAACAGGAGAAAAAGAAAAGCTAAAGTCCAGACCCACCAGCTAAGCAATCCAGCACTGTCCAGCATAACATCCTAGCATAGTTAAACTGGACGTTTTCATTCTGAAAATGACAGGCCAGGACAGGAAGAGACACCTGTATACACACTCCCGTGCCTGCCATGAGCCCAGCCCGGGCAGCCGGAGGAGCAGTAGACCTGAAGCTAAGTCTCAGGCCTACAGGGCGGGAGAGAAGAGGCTTTTGGGGCAGATGTGCCAAAGTCCGGGGAAGTCAGAACAGCGAGTGAGCTACCTGGACCCTGGCATCCTGTCCCAGAAATGTGCAGATGACCTCATGCACGGAGTGAGAAATGAGGCCACAGGCTCAGAAGCCCCCAGGAATCGGCCTGGACTCCAGAAAGGGGCTGTTCCCCCTGCAGATGCAGACCTGGGAGCCAGAGTACTTCCCAAACCAGGATGCAGCTGGGGGGTGGAAAGCACATGACTCCAAGATCCTGAAGTCTGGGCCGCCATTGTGGGTGAACATACAAAATGCCCACATCTGCCCTACCTCAGAATTCAACATGGTTCCATCCAGCTGGCAGCGCCTCCTGCCTGAGGCCAGGCCAGTGAAGATGAGTTGGAGCCCTCATCCAGGGCCTCTTTTTTGCTTGCTCCTCTGTAAAGAAGGGGGCAGTTTGTGTGAAGCCGCCACCACGCCCACTACCCCCACCCCCACACCAGACATACACACACACACACACACACACACACACACACACACACACACACACACACACACACACACACACACACACACACACACACACAGAGCCAGTGCCCCCTACCTTTGGCCTTCCCTGCAGGCATAGGCCCAGAGGGATTCCAGCCCAGCCCCTCACCTGCCTGGGCTGAGCCAAGGCCCAGCTACACAGGGGGCTGGGATCCAGTGGCAGGTGCGGTCTCTCCCCCTGTGGTTACTTTAAGCCTGGCATCTTTGGCTCACAGCAAAAACAGCCCCCACTCCCTGACAGCCCCCAATTCCCGACAGAGAACTGGCCTCACAACTGAAAACTGGGTTAGCCTCATCCCCAATAAATGGGTAAAGCTATGTTTATAACCCAAGGGCTAGCCTTGCACCCAGAAACTGGTTCTAGGCCAGATTTACAACGTGCAGGCAAAGGTTCCTTAAGAGTGCTGGAGTGGGGCCCACTGAGACCAGGCAGGCTTTCCAGCACAACGGGGATTTCCCAGAGTGCCCCAGCAATTCACTGCCTGATTAGCGATTGTGCGATTGTGCCAGGGACAGGGCGTGTGAGTCCAGGACGTGCTTCTAGCCGCCTTCAGCCTGGCCCTGTGAGATCCTTTTCTTGATAATTTTCCTGCCTTTTGTTCTGGGGTAAAACAATCTTAGGAATCATTTGCAGTCAGCTCCTCCCCTCGGTGGCCTGCATCCCAGGGCTGTGGGTGTGGAGGGCGGGGGACATGGGGGGTGTTGGGAGCCACCCCTGCCCTGGTAGGAACATCATGTTCCTGTGCTGGGGGCCCTGGGAGGACTCCAGGCCAGAGTGGGTGGGGTTAGGCCAGAAGGGCCAGCTCAGTTTAAGCAACAGGCAGGAAAAGGGATGTGGAGACGTGCCTGATTCCAGACAACTCTACCCGTACCACCCCCCCCCACCCTCACCCCTCTTCTGGCCCCAGCCAGGGCTGCTTGGGAGGGACAAAGTGTGGCAGGGGAGCAGCAACTGCCCACACGCACACCCTGGGGCAACTGCGATCTCCAGCGCAGAAGAGCCACTTTGACCCGTTGGTCTAATTCTTGCCCCTCCAGCTTTGGACAACCTCTTTGCCCTGGCCCATTCCTGCCTGCAACCTAGTTACTTACATCCTTGAGACCAGCTCTGCTCAGTGCCTCCCTGCCATCCTTCATCTCCAGGCCCCTCACAGGGCTTACTGCCTGGCCCTGGGCCCAACTTCTAACCTCTTGCACCCCTACTCCCCACCCCCAGCAATGGCCTCGCCTTGTTTCTAGGGAGAAAACAGAAGCAATGGGTCAAAATCTCCTCTGCTCCTCCCCAAGTCTTCCTCAAGCTCCTGCCACATTGTTCTCCCTTCATGGCAAAAGCCTTGAGACTTTCAGCCGTTCCCTCCTCACCTCCCATTCTCACCACTTCAGTCCCCAGTGACTTCCACAGGCAGAGCCAGTGTACTTGCTGGCTCTCTGGAGTCTCTGCCCAAGTAGTGGACGCCTCCTTCCTGCTTCAAGGACCACTTCAGCGACACCCAGTTCTCCTGGTTTTCTTCCCACCTCCGTTGCCAGCTTTACCCAGACTACAGTTAAATGTTGGAGTGGCCCAGGGCTCCACTCTGGGTTCTCCTGTCCCCCTCCAGGGAGATTCTGTCAGGGACAGCATGGCTTTGGGTGTTACCTCCACACTGCTCACTGGGACCTCTGTCTGGGACACTGCTGAATTGAGTGTCCAGTGGTCCCGCCAGAGTCCCTCTCTCATCTCTTCACTCACTGGGACCTTCTATAAAGTTTGCTTTTCTTTCCTTTTCTTTTTTTTTTTTTTTATTGGAGAACAGTGCGTTTTTCCAGGACCCATCAGTTCCAAGTCAAGTAGTTATTTCAATTTAGTTGTGGAGGGCGCAGCGCAGCAGCCCATGTGGGGATCAAACCGGCAACCTTGGTGTTATGAGCACTGCGCTGTAACCAACCGAGCTAACCAGCCACCCTTTTCCTTTTTTTTTTTAATTAACAAAAATTTTAAGTATGAAATATAACAGATACAAAAAGGTGCATAAAACAAAGACATTCTGCTGAATAATTCTCACAGGCCAAACACACAAAACGAGACTCAGACGAAGCACAGTGTCAGCAGCACCTATCCTGAGTTTTCAGGTCACGTGGTCGCTACTTCCTTGATTTTCTTGATTGCTCCTATCACCTCTCCATGCCTCTCCAAAAAATACTTTCTTCATACAATTAAATATACACCTATAATCACAGGGTAAGGGGGAACCTATTCTAACTGCTGTTTTTTAGCAGGCTTTTATCTTTTCCTCTTTTGCTTACCCCTGCCTCTCCCTTCTCTCACCATCTCTCTGGAACCCATAGTTACAAGATATATGTTTTCTACATTTTTCCTTGCTTATATAATTATAAAAACATGTATATAAGTACAGAGCAGTTTGTTGTACACATTTAGATCATCTTGTACACAATTTTCTGCATCTTATTTTTCTCATCCCAACTGTGTGGCAGGTCCTCCAAATCAAGTAGTAGTATTCCAATTCCTTTTTTTTTTAAGATTTTATCGGGGAATTGGAGAAGGGTACAGTGTTGGGGAATTGGGAAAGGGAACATTGTGTTTTTTCAGGATCCATCAGCTCCAAGTCAAGTTGTCCTTCGATCTTAGTTGTGGAGGGCGCAGCTCAGCTCCAAGTCCAGTTGCCACTTTCAATCTAGTTGCAGGGGACCCACCATCCCATGCAGGAGTCGAACGGGAAACCTTGTTAAGAGCATGCGCTCTCACTAGCTGAGCCATCTGGCCACCCATTGGCAGCTCAGCAGCAGCTCAGCTCAGGCGCAGCTCACTGGCCCATGTGGGAATCAAACCAGCGACCCTGTTGCTCAGAGCTCGTGCTCTAACCAACTGCATCACCAGGCTGGCCTCCCAATTCCTTCTTTTTGATGGTGACATAAAGTCTGTCTGTCCACACGCTTGTTGATAATTCTCCCACAAAAAGCGGGGTCTAATTTTCCTCTCCTTGGATATAGCCCAGCCATAGTGACTCTTTCTAATGAATAGAAGGAGACAGAAATGACACTGTGACTTCTAAGTCTAGGTTGGAAAGGTGATACAGCTTCCAGCAGGCACCCTCTCTCAGGACAATCATCTTTGGAACTTTGCCACCACGTTGTGAGGAAGCCCACAACACGGAGCAGCCACATGTGGGTGTTCAGGCCCTAGCTAAAGTCTCAGCTGACAGCCAGCACCCAACACCAGACTTAAGTGAGGAGCCTTCAGGTGATTCCAGCCCCAACTTTCAAGCTGCTCAGAGTCATGCAGCAGAGAAGAGCAGAATCCACTGACTTCTGCCCAAATGACAGATTAGTGAGCAACATAAATGTTATAGTTTCAAGCCACTAGATTTGGATAATTTGTTATACAGCATAGTAACTATGAAGCACTGAAATGTCTCCAACCATGTCCTTATGGAGGGGCCATCACATTGCAATTTTCTTTCCACTCCTCATAATGTAGCAATAAATATCCCTGACCATACAGCTCACATCTCAGTGCTTTGATTTCTATAAGTGAGAATCCCAAGATTTGGATTACAAGGTCCAAAAGTATATGCATTTTTATCTTACTGGAATTTGCCTGATAGCTTTCCAAAAAGGCTGTAACTGATCTTCCCTTGTCAACAATGTTTAGACAAATCCTTTTCCTTACATGCCTGACAGAAGAGTTGGTACAGCTCTTTTTAGCTTTTGCTAGTCTACTAAATAGAAAGTGACTTATCTCATTGTTACTCTTTAAAAAAAAAAGACTTTCCTTTCTAGAGCAGTTTTACATTCACAGCAAAATTGAGCAGAAAGTACAGAGAGTTCCCATATACCCCATCCACCCCCACCACACAGCCTCCCTCACCATCAACACCCTGCATCAGTGTGGTACATTTGTTTCTATCAGTGAACTAATGTTGACACATCATCACCCAAAGTCCATAGTTTACATGGAGTCCATTCTTTGTCTTGTATATTCTATGGGTTTTGACAAATGTCTAATGACAAATATTCACCATTATCGTATCATACAGAACAGTTTTACTGCCCTAAAAAAATCCATTACTCCCTCCCCATCCAATGCCTGGCAACTACTCATCATTTTAGTCTCTCCACAGTTTTGCCATTGTTACATTTTTCATTTAGATTTGCATTTCTTGTTTTCTGGTGAGTCTGACCTTTTTTTTTTTTTTAAGATTTTTATTGGGGAGTTGGGGGATGGGAACAGCGCTGGGGAATTGGGGGAAGGGAACAGAGAAGCTGCTGTCCTTTTGTTCTTCAGTCTAGTTGTGGAGGACGTTGCTTCACTGGCCCAAGTTGGCACCATCATTGCGCTCTTCCCGGGTGAGGCAGATCAGTCGCTGGCTTCTGGACAGCTGCTCACAGCGGCTGCTGGCCCACTCACACTGGCTGCTGTCTACATACGGTAGCCCATGGCAACCCACCTGCCATTGCAGCCCAGCTCCGGGTTGAGCTGTTGTTCAGCATCTTAGCTGTAGAGGGCAGTGTCACTGGCCCTCATGTGGGATCCGAACCGGGGCCCTCTGGCGTCCCAAGCCAGTTCTTAACCAACACACCACTCGGCCAGCCCTGAACATCTTTTCATATGTAAGGTTCCGTTGATTGCCTCCCAATACCTTTTTCTCCTTCATCTTTGCTAACAACTCCAGATTTTGTCCGGAGTGGCAAGTGCCCAGTCTCAAGTGATGGACCACTCTTGACCCCATTTCCTGACCTCTCAGCCTCCTTGCACTTAGGGGTGGCCACAGATGACCCAGTTTTAGTCAATGTGAAATAAAGAGAAGTCTGCTGGGAATTCTGGGAAGGTGTTTGCCTACCTGATGAAGGGTATAGATGTGACTGGTACCAATCTTCCTCCTGCTTTGAATACTAATGTGATGTCTGGAGAGACTGCAGCTACCTTGCATTGCTGGGGCCACAAGCATGAAGACAAACATCAAGATGCTAAGGATGGTAGTGGAAGGTCCAAAAAGCCTGGGTTATGTGCAACAGAAATGAATGATTGTGGCCACAAAAGACATGTAAAGAAACATCCATGGAAACTATATTCATGGTAACCAAAATCAGAATCAATCTAGATGCCTATCAACAGTCGAATGGGTTGATAATTTGTAGTATAGTCTTATAATGGAATACCATACAGAAATGAAAAAGAAAACTATCACAATACGCACTATCATGGAAGAATCTCACAGACATAATGTTGAATAAAAAATCCAGACACAAAAAAAGTACATATTGTATGATTCAATTTAAAATGGGGGGAATTTGGGCTGGCCAAGTGGTGCGTTGGTTAAGAGTTGGCTTGGGATGCCAGCTCTGAGCAGCAGGGCCACCGGTTCGGATCCCGCATGAGGGCCACCCTCTACAGCTAAGATGGTGAACAACAGCTCGACCTGGAGCTGGGCTGCTGTGAGTCGCCAGCGACAGCGTAGGCTGCAGCAGTGGGCTGCC